TTTATCATGTTGATAGGCCTTGATAAAATGCAGTTAGAACATCCAAAATGCATCAGTTTATACATTAAATATCACAGAATAAAACCAACAGATCAAAAAAGTTCTTATGCTAAAACTAAATTTTCGGTTAAAATTTTACTTGACTCCGACAGCGACTCCGAAAATGACTCCGTGTAGGTCTCTAGTTAGGACTGAACCTGTAGACTATCACAGAAATCATAACTAGACACAGCCATCCAAACTCGATTAAGCAAATCTAGTTACTTTCACGACATACATGCATCAACTTTGCCACTGTGGCCTCCCCCGCTTTAATCAATACTCCTCCTATGGCAACATAAAAAACCACAGTCATATCTGTATAATCACACCTTCATATTTAGGCACACGGCGCACCCGATACCAATGGCAAAGCAAAATCTGGAGATTTGCATGAACTTGCATTGTTAGAAGAAAAATTGCATTTGCAGCAACAACGAGCAATCGTGCCCATAATGGCAAAGTCAATATATAGAGTGACGCCCGTAATGGCGACTCATAATACTGCATATCGCATACCCACACTTACATATGCGTGGTTGCCCCGTGGTAGCAGGTGTCCGTTGTGGGTAATGACCCACTTGTCGTCAGCATGTGTTTGGCTATGTATCTGCCCAATAAGAACTGCAGCGGCTGTCACTGCACATCCTACTTTGATTGTAGAACTCGGTATGCATTTCACCTCTTGTGCGGCGGGTTGTGGTGGAGTGTACCGGTTGGAATGTTAACCCTTTTAGGTGCGAATCTGTCGATGCGGGCCCTTCTCCGAGCATCAGTGTGGCTGTCGCTGCTTCCATGTGGGCATCTTGTCATGATGTGATGACTGAGGTCGTAATTGTTCTCGCAGTGGACATGCGTTCACACCCATAATTACACTGATGCGAAAACTCAGGTATTATAGTCACCTAGAAGAAGTACTAGAATAACCGCTGCTTGCGCATCTTGACTCGTCCTTCCGCTGAATCGTAATAAATACAACAAAGCCAATCACTCAAGCATACCTTTATCTTTAGACGCACACCAGTCTTGGTCCCCTCACAAAAGCAACACCAAGACATATGCATAGTAATCTATCGGGCAAACTTAGTTAAATACTACAGTCATTCTCAAACTGAAACCTGAAGCCAGAGTTGCACACTAAGAGCCACATGAAAAACAAGAGGTTTTGGGGATTAGGTGAGAACGTGGGTATACATCTGTGAAACAGGATGAATGACATCAGGGTCTATGTGTACTGTAAGCGAACATACATGCGTGACAAAGGAAACGAGAGCAGGCGAAGTTTGAAGCTATGCCCAAATTTAGTTATGCAAAGATAACCAATCTTGCGTTAGCGATGCACATGCTGCTTTCATAGCAGAAGTCGATGTGGATGCCGACGGCGACGAAGACGGTGTTCAATGTCAATGTGAAGTGTTATGACTTCGAAAAGGAGTGTCTGTACACATCTGTGAATCAGAGATATCCGTTGTCACTAGACGTCTGCAGCTGCCGCAGTGCCATGTACACTTATGGTGTGGATTTTGATGGGAGTGCGAGTGCCAATGTGGAGTGTGCCTAGATAAGAATTTTAAGCTGACTGTCAACGTGGACACCAGCCTATGCGTTTTGGTATCATAAAGGGTTGTCTTGAGTGCTTCACCGGAACCGACACCCACTAACAACCATATCTACAGTGAGACTCATAGGAAAATCCACCAACTGTACTCACACCAGAAGTGTCATCCATGCTCAGCGTTATGCTGCACTCATCCGAGTGACCGCCACATATTCACAATTTGGCATATCCCGTCATCGATAGCGACATCAAAGCAATAGCAACAGGTGTGTGCGGACATTCATTGCCAGAAACACAGCAGCAGTTGAAACCACAGCTAACTACTGCACTCATGGAGGCAAAGACAGATCCTGAGTGATATGCATAGTCGGCGATCACAATAGGGCTTATCGTGCAGTCCCTTGCAGAGATATATTGCCACGGCCACTCCCATAGTTACTGCATCATTTAATTTCACATGCCATACTGGTGTCCGGTGAGAGGTCACTGCCAACAATACACACTCTCAATTGCACGAAGAGCCACTGGGTTGAAGTGTGACTTTGAAGGTCCATATATATGCGATTGCTCAGTGTGGCCAAATATCTCAATTATATATATCGGCAAAAAATCGTAACGCGTCACCTCTAATACCGGAAAATAAAAACAAATGAGTTGTAATATCAATACTTTCTTCCTATAGAGTCTAGCTAAAAGTGAGCAAAATCTCTTCTTTGTTCAAAGATTAGATGGTTTTGCTCACATTTGTCAATCATTAACAAAATTTTGATAGCAACAAAGAGAGTGCATTTTTCTGATTTTCGTCATCACGTTACAAAATCATTATCACGTTGCGTGAATTAAACCAAAATAACGAGCCAATAAATGATCTTTTTGAATCATTTTATTTTTTCGTTGGATACTCCGTACTGTCGGCTATAAATTTCTTATGGATAGGTTTTTTCAATGTAGCGCGCATCCAGAGAAAAGCAACGAACAAACACGTCACCCTCAGATTTTTGTGCAGTTTTCATCGTTGCGTTTCTGTCAGTATTTTTGCCAGAGTTTTCAAAGGACTAAGCCAAACGAACTCAGGTCTTCACGAATTGCGATAGGGTAGAGAGACCCATCATTTGATGAAAGAATCAAATTTCTAAGTAGTCTAGTTTCTAAGAAAAATGGAAAAAACTGGACAAAACGTCATCGCGTCACGCTTGTAAAAGCCGAGATATATATAACATGTAGCTTCTACAATGCATTATAATGATATAATTGTTTACTAATAATAGTACTCCTACAATGGTAATTATTTGTTGTTATTTTGATTGTACATGGTGTGCGAAAGCAACGTAATCGAGAATCATTGCAAAATCTGTTGTAAAAATGAACTTATATCAACCTTTTCCATTTATTATTAGTTTTACTAGATTTCTTGATGTGTTCTATTCCGATTGTCCTAGCTTAATCGTACTAGTTATTTACAGCGCAAGAGCAGCTATTGAAAATATTAATGAAGATATTGAAAAATAGGCTATTTTAGGACATATCTACAGAGGATCTTTTAATGACTTTCATACAATTTCTCAAATTGCATATGTCATTTCTGCCTTACATAATTTTAACACACGTAATTTTTCCTGGTTGTGATTATCGATCATGATACGCTATCTATGTCTCTTGATTGTTTATTTTTAATTTTATTTTGACAGCGGTGCTTCTTGCTCTTTCAAATAGCCAGTAAGATTTACAGTTAATAAGTTTGATAAAAGTGTATTTTCCCAAAATATTTTATGTAAAGTTTTGATTATGTTCGTTTTGAATGAGGTACACAATCCAAATCATAACAAGCAGTTAGCACCCGTGAGTGTGGTTTGAGTCGCGGTGCTGTTGTGCAGGTTAGTGTAGCTGTAGGTGTGAATGCATGTTTGAGGTTGTTGTTTTACCTGGCTAAGCATGTCTCCATGATGAGGCAAGCAGGTATGACTAGTGTTTGTACGTTAGTATGCGGAGAATCTGTGGTTGCCACAGTCGTGCTGTGCTGCTTATTGTGTGTTGGAGTGTTTCCAAAAGTCCCTATTACGATCGGTGTGAAGATCACTGTGGATTTGTTTTAGGGTTTGTATGTAGTGGAGCGCATGGGTGATGGTTTGTCATTGAGCCCTACAGTAGATGGGTGGATTTAGCATGTGAGAAAGTTTGTGTGGAAGTGAATATGCTTGTGAGGACATGTGCTAGCAGGCTATGTATGGTTGCTGGCCGTGTATTTATCGGTGCATAGTTAAGTCTGGGCGTCTGTATTTGCTGGTGAGTGGGCGTATGATCGTTTCTGTAGGATGTACGTGAGCTTGAGCTCAAAGCCAAGTTCATGGCCGGCGATTCGTATGTGGCTGGTAGTGCGAACGTTGAATGTGACTGTGTGTCTCTCGGTATTATTGTATGACGAGGATTGTCTGATACGTAGCTGATCAGGAGGGTGCGGCTCTGAAATAGAGTCTGTTGGCACATTATTCATGGGTGTAATGCATTAAACAGTATGTGGCTGTATGAATCTGTGTGGGCGAAAGGCCGTTGATGACTGTTAGTAGACTTTTTTAAAAATATGCAATTGACTACGGATGTATTCTTCTATTTCGAATGCGCAGATGGCATTTTTTTACTGCTATTGTGGATTTTAATGCATTGGAGAAAATTGTGGTCAGTAACATTGTTGGTCATCGTGAGTGAAGCAAACCCAATAAATTTTTATGGTTTTGAGTGTACGCAAAAGGCAAAATAGGAACTTTTATTGTGCGTATGTCGAAGCTAAGAAAAGTACACACCTTAGAAGACTGCCTTTGACTGTTTTTTTACGTCATTTGGAAGATGATATAGATTGTATGATAGTGTTGTTTGTTAGTTATCAGTGTAGTTCGAAATCGACGAAGTATTGTGCAAATAAATACATTTGATACAAACAAGAAGGAAATGTTTTGCTGAACATGGTAGAGTTATTTTTTGTAGAAGTTGGAAAAAACCAAGCATGTGAGGTGTATGTTGTTGTTAGCTGAAGTAAATTATACGGTTATGATGCATTAAACGAAATATGATGAAAGGAATTGTGTTTAGGCGAAATTATACTCACCTGGTCTGTAAATAAGAGGGTAAATATGAATTGTTGAAGCAACAGCAAACAGAAGAGAATAAAAAGAGTAGCTTTCTTTCTTCTGTGTGCCGTTGGCTGCACACGAAACGAAGAAAAAGCAAAGTTTGAATCCTGACGAAAGAGTAGAGGCAAGAAGGAGAATTTTTTGTGACACGTGGCTGTTGTGAATAAAAGCGAGCGTAATAGCAAACGAAGATCATTCGAATTGCTAACGCAAGAAAAAAATATTCAAGCACACACACGCACACAAAAACTCCGGCGTATATACAAAACTAAACTAAAATGGCATGCTCCAAGGTTCAATTTAGTAACAATGATAACAACTTAGAAACGTACAGCATCTTTTGGTTAGATGCATCTGTGGACAGTGAAGAAAACAAGGCGGCTCAAAAGCAATTACGATCAATCATCAATCAACTGAGGACTTTCGTCGATCCAGAAGAATGTATGGGTCGTATTGGATCTATTCATCAAGGTGATCTTACAAGTTTAATTGTAAGTGGTCAATTGGGCCGTATTGTGGTACCTGAAATGCAGAAACTACAACAGGTATCATCAATATATGTTTACTGCTTCAATAAAGAGGCAAATCTACAATGGAGCCGACCATACAGCAAGGTATGTACATGTCATTATTGAAAACTATTTCATGCATTGTTAGTTTATTTAAGGTTAAAGCTGTGTGCAATAATTTGAACGAACTCATCAATATAATACGAACGAATCAAAAGTATCGGGTTCGACTTGAAGAATCCTTGGGCATTAACGTATTGGATCGATCGTCAACGGCATTGAATGGAGAATTCTTGCATTCCCAATTGTTGATCGATGTTCTTATCAGAATGAAGCCAAATGAACAAGACAAGAAAGAATTAATTGAAATGTGCAAAATTGAATACAAGGGCAACGAAGCTGAATTAAGACGGGTAAATGAATTCAGACTAAAATATGAATCATCAAAAGCCGTCTGGTGGTATACACGTGAGTCATTTGTTTATCGTATTTTGAACAAGGCACTACGTGTGCAAAACGTAGATGTCTTGTTTTTGTTTCGAGACGTTATTCGCGACATATTGGAGCAGTTACGTGCTTCGCAATGTCGTGAACGAATAACTGTTTTTCGTGGCCAATTTATTTCAAAAAACGAATTCAAATTGTTACATAAATCGATTGGGAATATTATATCGATGAATTCGTTTTTATCGACTACAGTGAAACGTGATGTTGCATTAAGATTTATGAAATATAATCCGAATTTATTATCGTCGGATGATCATGTTCCTGTTATGTTTGAAATCGATGCTGATCCACGTATAATTGGAAGTTCGAGAGAAAACAGTCGACTATTTGCAGAAATTGCAAGGTTTAGTGATCATAAAGGAGAATCCGATGTACTCTTCATGCTAGGTTCGATCTTTTGTTTGAATGAGATCTGTCATGATCAATCATCAACTGACGCGACAATCTCGATCATTCGAATGACATTATGCAGTGATCATGACAACGATCTCAAACAACTGTATGATCACATGAAGAACGAATACTACAGAGGAGAAACGAATCTTCTCTCTCTTGGTGATGTGATGTATAAAATGGGAAATTCTGATCTGGCCGAAAAGTACTATCGTCGATTGTTGAGCGAACTTCCATCGAATGATCCCTCACTCTCTCGATTGTATCATAATCTTGGCCTGGTTGCTGATGCGAAAGGTGAGTATGACACGAGTCTCGAATTGTACCAGAAATCGCTCGAGATAAAGATGCGAACTCGCCCATCCGATCATGTCAATATTGGGAACACACTCAACAGCATCGGTGCAGTTCATGGAAATAAGGGTGATCGTAGTCAAGCCCTCGAATCGTACAATCGAGCGGTGTCACTCTTCAAACAAGCACACGATGAAAATCACCCGAAGATGGCCATATTTTACAACAACATTGGCCTCATCTATCGAGAACAGCAGAAGTATTCGGAAGCGCTCGACTTCTATGAGAAGTCACTTGCTATTAGAAAGAAGCATCTGCCAGCGGATCATCCTGATTTGAGTGCATCGTACAACATTATTGGGAGTGTTCATTATTATCTCAGCGATTATGATCTCGCATTGGAGCATTACAATCGATCACTTGAAATCAAATTGAAGATACTTCCTGTTCAACATCCCGATATTGCAATGGCCTACGAAAACATGAGTGTTGTGTATGAAGACAAGGATGAGTTAACACAAGCTGTGACATTATTGAAGAAGGCTCAGACAATCTATGAAGCATCATTGCCAACTAATCATCCAAATGTGATGAAGATAAAAGATAGTGTTCGACGAGTAGAAGATAAATTGAAGTCAAAATGAGGATATACGAAGTTAAAGACAAAGAAGTAATAATGTGCGTTGTTAAATAAAAGTTTGAAAATGATCCCAAAAAAGACGAAAATACAAAAATATGCACAAAATTGATGCTTTTCTATGAAGAAAACATGTTATAGAATAATGACAGAAATGAAGACCGCGGGGCGGGAAGGAGCGGGGAATCCACATTTTTTGAGAAACAATGGGGGATGGCGGGGGAAAGACAAATCGAGTTTTTCTGTCGAATGGCATGAGCTGAAAAGGAAGCAGGAGAGAAATGGACTTTGTTCAAAACTTTAATAAAATAAATAGTTTATTAGCATGGATAAGTATGAAGCACAATTATTCAATGAAGTAATGAGCAAGAAACTATCAAACACCAGTACTCCCAAAGCACTAGCATTTGTTACTGGCTAAGCATCCTATCGACGACTCCGTCAAACCTAGAATAAAAAACAAATATCTTGAATTTTTCTTCAGCTTATTATCATGAAGGGTGTGGATGTGGGTGCAGTTGAAGAGAAGATCCACAACCACTCCCTCCCCCTCCCTCCCACATCCTGTCCTAAAATCCAAATCAACCAATAAGTTCTTTTTTTCTTAATTTATTCAGATACTGTCCAACACTTCTTGAATATAAATAAGTTGAAGGACAAAAGCAAGACTCACAAAAATGAAGCAAAAGGATAAGTTCGATTAAATATACGACAGAAATGCTATAGGATAGTTCTAAATCTTTCGAAATGTTCACTTTTTGACAAAATTACGTGCTGAGACTTGAGCAGCATGACAATCAGGTACATAATTACTATCAATGCTACCATGTGTCTTTGATGCTGAACAGCATTTGTATATATTATCAATGACACAACAGAATCGTCCTTGTGGACAGCATTGTCCTTCAGCACAACAAACCGGATGAGTTGAAGGACAACAATGATTTGTGAGACAGCACGAAGTTGATATTGGACAACAATTAGCTTCAATCGATGTTGAATTCAGTTGTGTTGTGGAACAACAGGTTTGTGTTGTATCACTTCCACAGAAATTACTGGAACATTGTTGGCCATTAGTAGTAGTAACACACCAACAGCCAGCATAACGATGAGAATACTAGTGATTTGATGGAGCATTTTCTTATTTGTTTGAGAAGTATTAAAAAATGAATGACATGCAAGGATATATGTTTCGATGTGTATATAGAAGCAAAAACGGAAGTAAAAGGATCGAATTATGAAACAACGAAATTGTATTTTTTTTTTGTCGTTTTTTGCATCGTCAATAGTAATACGTCGTTTTTTTGAATTTGATTAAATCATAGAGTTATAAAAATAGAGTCAAATAAGCATACAAAATCAAAAAACTGAAAAAAAATTAACTACGCTTATATATAACGGGTGCACCAGGTTGACTGACCGCGTTTTGCATTCCAATTTTCATTCACTTAATATATTGTATTAAAAAAACAAAATATATCACAAGATGCAGCGTGAAAAGCTCTACAATTTACATAAGCTCACTTTTTTCTAGCTGCACTTTTTGCTTTCAAAATCGAATAAATTTCGAGCGACCAGATTTCTATGCTACGAGAGTCTTTTTTTAATACATGACAGATGCGTTTTCTTCTTATTTACCATTTAAAAATCTTCTATTTACAAAAAAATAAAATATACCACAAGATGCAGCGTTAAAAACTCTATATTTTACATACGACAGCTTTTTTTATACTTTCACTTTTTTCTTTTCAAAATCGACAAAATTCTAAGAGACTAACATTCGACGCTGCGAAAACGATATTTTTTTGGTACATCACGATTCGTTTTTTCTTATTTACCAGCTAATATGTTTTATTAAAACAAAACCAAAGTACATCTCAAGAGGCAGCGTGAAAAGCTCTACAATTTATACAGAATAAGTGTAAAAAGATGAAATAAGAAAAAACGATTCTATGTTGTACCAAAAACAATATCGTTTTCGCACAATTAAAATTTGGCCTTTCAAAATTTTGACTATTTGAAATCAAAAAGTGCAGCTAGAAAAAAAGCGGGCTTATGTAAATTGTAGAACTTTTCACGCTGCATCTTGTGACATATTTTGTTTCCAATATCACCTCTTTTTTACCAACTGCATCGTACAATCCGGTGTAACTAGCGCCGACCAATCATAAATCACTCCTTCTTATTTGTAATTGGCCACACTCCAGCAGTAAAACTTAGCCAGACAAACACAGTATGAAAGGCAGTGTTCATGACACTTCGGATCATAACTCATTCTACCATAAAAGGTACAATATATAATTCACAAATAATTTTTTGATTTTTCTAGGTTTTAATTTCTTTACTTTTCTTACTTTTTTAATTTTAAACTTTTATTAATACTCTAATTTTTTTATCAGTAATTTTTTTTAATTCTTGCTTTTAGTTTTTTATAAGAATTGTCAATTTTGTAGCTTTACTAAGTTTTGTTATTTTTTTGTGTTCAAAAAAATTCTTTTAATTCTCAATAAAGATATAAATAAAATGAGAATTTTATCTATGGCATCTCTTTTAACAATTGCGATGCAGTCACGCGGAACTGCGTCGCAATTTTTCGCAATTGCGGGTCACAGTGCGATCGCAGTTTGACCGTAATCGAACACATGGGAATATATTAAGTGAATGAAAATTGGAATGCAACACGGCCATTCAACCTGGTGCACCCGTTATATCCCTCCGGAAAAAAGAAACTGCACTCAGTATTTTAACGAAATCTTTTCCATAATAAGATATGTTTTAAAAAAATAATGATATATTCTGAAAGCCCGTGAAATTTTCTATTGCCTTCTATAATTACAATTTTATTGGGAGTAATATGCGAAAAAGAATTTGGATGTAATGAAGATACCCTCGCCCTCAGATTCCCAGACTTTATTTTCTCACTGTCATCAAAATTAGTATTTTTTAATTTTTTATCACTGTAGAATAATCATTTTAGAAAAGCAATAATATATTGTGATAGATCTTGAAATTCTCTATCATCCTGTAGATTTACTTATTTTCTTATGTTCACTTATTGACAAGAAAATTTGAGTAGAATGAAAACATCCTCAATCGACAAGCATAAAAAATCTACATTTTTTTTGTTACTTTTATGGTGTTATTTTTGAAATTATTATTCCTATG